TTCTCAACTACTAAGAATAAATGCATGCATAAATCAAGAGGACTTTATTAAAGGTTAAAATGGGGTTGGGGTGAAAGTATGGGTGAGTATGGAAAAGAAAGGTTAAACACCCAGAAATATAAAAAAAAAACTAGCAAAATAAAAATTGTACTAACGAAACATAACTGAAATAAAAACAGAAAAAACACAACACAAATAACTAAAAAAAAAATATCTTTTTTTTTTTGTTTTTTTATCAATTTTTTTTTCACTTTTTTTTTGCTTTGTTTTTTTTTTCATTCATTTTTTTTCATAGTAAAATTAAAATATTAAATGACTCCTCCCCCACACTTAAAGTATTGCACGTCTCGGGTAAACCCCCACATTTAAACACAAAACAATAGTGAAATCAATCCTCAGTAAATCTCCAGGGTGGGGAATTAATTGGTTTTTCACTTAGGCTAGTCACGTAGCTAAGAAAAAGAGGATATAAAGCACAAAAGGGCTAACCAAAGGGAATATAATGCAAAGGATGGCTATCTGGCTAAAGTGAAAAAATAAAAGAAAGAAGGCCTCAATTATATTTATGCATGCAAAAGAAAAATGTAATTTCAAAAAGAACAAGAGCAAGTTCTAGAGAACAACAATCAAGAGTACAAGCACACAAGAAATAAAGAATGGTAGATGATAAGATCCATTCATATAGCCCAAATTCTCACCAAAGGGTATACCAATCACATATCAGCATCACAAAATCAATTGCCAAGTCAAGTAATACAAGAATTAAGAACTCAGCCTAACCAGAGTGATCCATCACAAGTATCAAATCTAATTCAATTATGTATGACTCAACAAATTTTAGAAAGAACAAAATAATCTACTTATTGCCCCGAAAAACTAAAATTAAAAATTCAAATAAACTGAAAGGTAATGAAAATAGGGAAAATAACTCCCTGTCCTCCTTAGGGAGGATAAACAGCATCATTGAGCAGAGCCTCTGTCTCCACAAATTGCTTCTGGGGTCCTTCATGAACAACTTTGAGGTGATGGCCAATCATTGTGGAAGTCTTCCCCATCTGCTTATCACGCAACTTTGGGGGCTTTCTTTTCTGTGTGCATTTCTTCTTCTCTTGATCCTTTCTTCCAACCTTACGCAAACTTTTTTGCATACTAAAAATAGAGGAAGAACTTTTTGGTACCCATTTCATCTATGGTCCATGAGGGTTAGGATCAAAATCATTACCAGAATAGGGAGTCTTTCCTAACTTCACATTTAGTACAAATTCAGAATTAACATTAATAGGCAAGTCATAATCCACAGGTAATGCACAATCACTAATCAATTCAGAATCAACCTTATCAGCCACATCATGAATCACTTTTATGCATGAAACTGAATGATCAACCTGAACCTTAGAATGCTTCATTAAATCAAATATACTAAAATGTACAATGATATCACCAAATTCCATGGAAAGAGTCCCAGCATGCACATCTATTTTGGTCCTTGCAGTTTACAAAAAGGGCCTCCCAAGTATGATTGGGGGCTTACTACTAGGAGACTCACCCTCCATATCTAAAATGTAAAAGTCAGTAGGAAATATCAGGTTATTAACTCTGACTAAAACATTTTCAATTAAACCAGAAGGGTGAGCATTGCTCCTATTGGCTAACTGGATAACAACACCAGTAGCACGCAAAGGACCAAGACCAAGGGACTTATAAATAGACTCAGGCATGACATTAATGGAATCACCTAAATCTAGCATGCAATCATCAAATATACAACTTCCAATAATGCAGGGAATAGTAAATGTACCTGGGTCTTTGCATTTCTCAGGCATGGGTTGGGTGAGGGCTGATACATTGCGGCTCACGCTAACTAGCTCGTCCCCCTTTAGTCGCCTCTTATTGATGCATAATTCTTTTAGGAATTTGACATATTTTAGAATCTGCTTGATCGCATCTAAGAGAGGAATGTTAACTTCAACCTTCCTGAATGTGTCTAGCATCTCCTTCTCTTGTGCTATTTCTGCCAATTTCCTGGAATTGATGGCTCTTTGAGGGAAGGGAAGCGGAACGGAGAACTCAGGTTCATTATCAAATTTTTTCTTCTCTTGCGCTGTCTTATTTTTTTCCAATGCTAGTTCATCCTCAACTGTAGCTTGCTGGGGCTCATTTAGTTGCTTGCCTGACTTCAGAGATATAACGCTGACATTTGCATTCCCTTTTGGATTTGGAACTATTTGAGAAGGAATAAAACTGCTGGAATTTTGAGGTTGAACCTGACTAATTGATGTTGCCAACTGGCCAATCCGTGTTTGCAGGTTCTGAATTGTAGATTCGGTCCGCTGCTGGAATTGCAAGTTACTCGTCGCCATCTGTTTCACCAAATCTTATAGTGAAAAACCGCAATTGCTCTGCTGTTGGGCTAGTGGCTCCTATTGCAATTGATGTGGAGGTACAACATGCTGGATATTTTGCCTCTGCTGATAAGGAGGAAGGCTCTGTTGGTTCAGGTTCTGATTCCACTTCAAGTTGGAATGATCCTCCCAGCCAGGATTGTAAGTATTGGAGAAGGGATTGTATTGCTGCTGCTGATACTGCGATTTTCCAGGGAAAACTCCTACTGCCGCTAGTGTCTGGTCAACTAGAGGGATGCTATCATGAAAGGAGGGGCAGACATCCGTGGGATGAAGAGGATTACAGCAGATGCCACACGGGTTGCTCATCTGTGGAGTGGGAAGCTGCACTATCTGTGTTACTGCCAATTGTCTCACCAGTGAGTTTAACTCATCAAGCTTATTTTCAATTCCTTGATTGTCCATGCTTGATGCTACTGTAGGAGCTGCTGAAGATGGGACTGTAGATGCTTGCACTTGGAACACTGCACTGTTGTTGGCTCTGGTGCCAAATTGCTGAGCATTGGCTGCTATCTCTGCAATCAATTCTTTTGCAGCAACAGGTGTTTTATTTTCTAGGACTCCACCACTAGCTGCATCTAAAAAATTTATGTCCATGGGAAGCAACCCTTTTACACAATCAACAGTTGATCTGGGATTTGATGGTGCGGGCAGCTTGCACATAGCCTCTTGAATTGCTCCCAGTATTCATGCAAGTTCTCCTCATTTGCTTGTCTTATGCCACTTATTTCCTTTCTGATCGAAGTGGCTCTTGAAGATGGGAAGAATTTTTCTAGGAAGTGTCTGGCCATATCATTCCAGCTTCCAATTGAGGATGGCTGCAAGTTGTGAAACCAATCCTTAGCTCCACCATCTAAAGAAAATGGAAAAGCCCTCATCTTGATTTGCTCCTCATCTACTCCTTGTGGCTTCATAGTACTGCATACCATGTGGAACTCCTTCAGATGCTTATGAGAATCCTCACCTACAAGACCATGGAACTTTGACAGCAAATGAATCAAACCAGATTTTAATTCAAATGCAATATTTAAATCAGGATAACGAATACATAGTGGCTGATAATATTCAACATCAAGTTCAGCCAATTGTTTCAAACTTTTGTTATCCATGATTTCAGAATTAACTAGAGAATCACTAGAAGAGGTAAAATCTACTCTATTAAAAGAACTAGAACAATTAAAATCAGTATGCTCAGAAATAGGATCAAGTTCAGTAATTCTACTATAAGTCAACATACGAGCTCTTCTAGCAGCATGCAATGTTCTCTCTATTTCAGGATCAAATGCAAACAGATCATTAACATTGATATTACTCTTAGTCATGCATCATAGGCGCAGGCAGAAAGCAAGAATTGTTACCGAACATACGAAAATACACGAAACTTATGAAAAACAATGAAAATAAATATAGAAAAAATAGCAAATGATTTTTAAAAATTTTGAGACCACCACACAAAAATTATAATTGATCCTAGGAACTCAAAAATAAAATAAAATATTTTCAAAAAATAAAATAAAATAGTAAACGAAGGAATTTGACTGGAATGATCGTCTCCTTTGGCTCACCAATTTTCAGAGCGATCAGAGCAAGCCGAACAAGTTCAGAAATACCCGATACGTTCTGAAACAACAAATAAACAGCAAAAAAGGTTAGTAAACGACTGAATTTCGCGAAATAAAGGGTGACCTCACTCCCTTTTTGGGAGTGATTTTTGCTTAGAAGGTCGAATTCCTTTCAGAATTGAAACTTTGAGAACGATCTGGATAAGACAGTCGTCTTCCCAATCACCAAAAACACCAAAAATCGCGGAAAAAAATTAATTAAACTAAAAAGATTAATAACCTATCTTACAAAAATAGAACAAAAAAAAATAACTAAGAATTGAAGAAAAATATGGTCAGATTAAAAGGGATTAATATTCAGAACAAAAAAATAAAAAAATAAAAAAATGATAAAAACCGATGCGATTTCCCCGGCAACGGCACCAAATTCGACACTAGCTGTCGAACTCGCACAAATTAATTAAATCAGGTTTATTAAAATTTTGTAGTAAAGTGAAAACCTGAGTCGTCTCTCAAGGAAATCGCAAGGATTAAAATCGCTGAATAAAAACAGAAAATAAAATGGGGGATTTTTGTTTGATTTAAATTAAAAATAAAACGAGATGTAAAAACAAAATTTCTTTAATTAAAAACAAACAACCCAGGATTAGGATTCTATGGACATCCGTCATTGGATAATTGATAATCAATTACGTGGTTGACCCTAAATAATTCAGAATCCCTCCAATTGTTTAGGAAATCCCTCTCTAGACAATCGCCTAGTGTTTGGTCGAATATGGCGCGTCAATTTATGCAATCGCAAAATATCAGCCCGATTGACTTGAGGTTATTAGGTTAATCAACCTAATAACTAAATCTAGTGATTAATCTCTTCCCAAGAACGCGATTGCGTATCTCAGATTGAACATCCACAATCGTGTGATGTCAACCTGAGTTGGGAAGAGAAACAAATTTGATTCATGAAAAGCACAGATCCTTTGGATTAAAACACAGAATCCTCAATCCATGGGTTGATTAAGGAAAGCTTAGCCTAGCATGGCTAAGGTAAACATAATTAAAAATTAAGAAGAAGAAGAAGAAGAAGAAAAAGACGAAGAACGCGAAGAACGCGAAGAGAAAAACTCTTTGATCCCAAAATTCGAAAATTATAGAATGACGAAAAGTTTCCTACTATGCCGTCATATACCCCTACCCAAATCGGGTTAGGGTTCAGTTCTGATCGGCCCATCTGTCTATAATACGAAATAAAATAAATAAAATAAAATAAATAAAATAAAATAAAACTAAAATTTGGCTTTGGGCCACTTAAGTAATTAGGTTTTAATTTAAATTACAAGTCTAATAATAAAATAAAACTTCAGCAAAACGCGTCCAACTTGGCGTCAGAAATCAACCAGCTGCCATTCCGAATTGGGCTTCGAGCTCTCATAAGAATTGTAGCCCTTTGTGTTATCTGAAAACCCCAAGAAGAACGGAGTCAATCCGACAACTGTGAACCGAGATATGGCCAAAATACAGAAGTAACGTAAAGTTGAAAAATTCTGACGAAAATAAATTAAACCCAATCAAAAACTAAAAATATAAATTAACTCATAAAATCATTATTTTATTCAAATAAATCCTAAAAATACTAATCAAGAGTAAAAAATAAGTGCAATAAAATATGAGTTATCACGCTCAGAAAGGGTCAGGTCTCAACCCAAACATTTGGCAGATTACAAATGCAACATCTCTACCTCATGCTCTTATCCCATATCCTATTTGGTATCTTATAACAAGTGCTCAGCTAACTACTCTTCGTTCTTTCATAATAGTAGTTCCTCTATTGAACCTCTAAACTACAAGCAAGCAGCCCAATTTCCTGAGTGGGTTTCTGCTATGAATGATGAGATTATAGCATTAAACCAAAACCAGACCTGGAAATTTGTTGAACTGCCAAAAGGAAAATGTCCTATAGGATCCAAATGGGTTTATAAAGTTAAACACAACCCTGATGGAACCATCTCTCGCTACAAAGCACGGTTGGTGGCAAAAGGATATAATCAAATGGAGGGGATTGACTATTTTGAAACTTTCTCCCCAGTAGCAAAATTGACCACTATAAGGTTACTGCTTGCTTTGGCATCTGCACGTCACTGGCACCTTAAGCAGCTTGACATAAATAATGCATTCTTGCATGGAGACTTGTTTGAGGAAGTCTACATGAAAGTGGCTGAAGGAGTTCAAGCACCTAGTTCACAGCATGTATGCAAACTTACAAAGTCTTTGTATAGTTTAAAGCAGGACAGCAGACAATGGAATGCAAAATTAACCACTGAACTCAAGACTTTAGGATACTACAATCATCTGGAGACCACTATCTCTTTATCAAAGCCAAAGGTGAGTCCTTCACAGCCCTCCTTGTATATGTAGATGATATGGTCCTGGCTGGTAATGATATGGAGGAGATCACATCTGTCAAGTGTCACTTGGATGATTTGTTTTGCATAAAGGATCTTAGACCTTTGAAATTTTTTCTTGGCCTTGAAGTTCCAGATCTAGCCAAGGTTTGGTACTCAACCAAAGGAAATACACACTGGAGCTCCTCAATGATAGCGGGTTGTTTGGAGCAAAACCAGCATCCACTCCAATGGATCCTAATATCAGATTGAAGTAGAATGAAGGCAAGCCATGTTCTGATCCTGCTAGCTATCGCATATTAATAGGACGACTGCTATACCTGACCAACACACGCCCAGATATCTCATTTGCTGTTCAGCAATTGAGTCAGTTTGTTGCTAACCTCATGGAGGTTCACTTTAATGCAGGATGTAGAGTTCTCCGCTCGTTGAAAGGGTGTCCAACAAAAGGTTTATTCTTTCCATCACATAATCAGTTGTCTCTTCGTGGCTTTACAGATGTTGACTGGGCAACATGTCCAGATACGCGAAGATCAACCACTGGCTTCTGTGTGTTCTTAGGATCATCCTTAATTTCATGGAAATCCAAGAAACAAACTACAGTTAGCCGATCGTCAGCAGAGGCTGAATATAGAGCTTTAGCTGCTTTAACTTGTGAGATACAATGGCTTGCATACCTACTACAAGATTTATGTGTTTCCTTCTCCAATCCAACTATGGTCTACTGTGACAATCAAGCTGCTATCCACTTGGCCCACAATCTCTCCTTCCATGAATGTAGCAAGCATATTGAGCTTGAGTGCCACATCACACGAGAGAAGATTGCAGGTGGGCTCATTCATATGCTACCTATCTCAACATCACAGCAACTGACAGATCCTTTCACCAAAGCATTACATCCAGCTCCCTTTCACGATTTCTTGAGCAAGTTGGGACTATTAGACATACACCTCCGAACCGGGGGGGAGGGGAGGGTTGATATATGTTTAGTTAGTTACTCGGCCCATTAGTTTAGTCACTTGGCCCACTAAGCTTAATTATGTTAATTAGTTAGCTTAGCCTGAGGTTATATATATATATGTACAGATAATTGTCTTGGTTAATTAATTCAACTTCCATCTTTCACTGATATGAATAACTCTCTTCTTTCTTCGTACCGTAAGAGGAACCATGGATAAATCCCAAAAAAGTGGAATAGAAAAATATAAAGTCATTTCGTAAATGTAAAACCAATCAAGCGATTGTTGCTTGAAATAGTATTCTGGTATGACATTGAACTCCCGATGAATGTTTTTCCTCCATGCATGAGAAAAGTAGATTTTGAAAAGAAAACAAATCCGCTTTTTTTTTATATTATCCATATATTTATCTATTACTTAATTAGTTCGATTCTAGTAGAGTAAAATCACATCAGCTGAAACATCACATTATCTCCACTGCTTTGTGGTAGTCGAGTAGTTTTTTAGTTATAAATCATTGATTTTTTTCTGCTTTTTCAAGGATGAGAAATTGAAGTAACGGCACTAAGCAATAATGCCAGCCTCTTTTTCTTATTTTATCTATTACCTTTCCGTCGGCATCCTCTATTAATAAAACTTCCAGCTGTAACTTTTGTTAACTCATATCGTTATAACTTTTCACTTAATTACAATGCTCAATCCTACAAGTAATTAATTATACAAGAACTAAGGTAATTAATTTAATTATCAAAAATTAAAAAAAATTACTTGTAGGCCTATTAAATATTTTCTTAATTGTTTAAAGAAAAGTCTTAAAGAATACATAAGTTTTTATTCTATTAAATTTTTCTTTTAATATAACATTTTTACTTCATAATTGAAATGTTTTAAAGATACTTGTTACTTAATGAAAAAGTAGAGTATTATAGTCATATAAAAAAAAAGTTATGCAATATGTCCCATTCACTGGCATTTTTCTTATGTCGACCAAATCCAACCGTATCTTGGTCCGGTCATACCAACCAAAATGTCTTTCCTGTTCTATAGCTTAGTTTGTATAAACTATGGCATGAAATAAATAAACAAACAAACATATATTAAAAGTGCACTTTGACATCACACCCACCATGAAATTTGCCATCTTACGCGTCTATTTATAGTAATACACGATTGCATAAAGACAAATTACCTAGACCCACAAGAGTTTCCGCATTAAAAAAACAAGGTGCACACAGTGGACATAAAAAACATGGTGTAAACTACTAAACTTGGATAGGTCAATGAGAACAAACTAACAGAGGAATTCATGTGAATGATACACATAGTGTGCCTCTTCTCATCACTTATACTACGGATAAACCTCAATGAGAGACTTCAAACCCAGAAGTTGAGTTATTTTGTAGTTACTGAAACCAGCAGAGAAAAAAAGCTTGGCCCATTCTTTCTCATTTCTCTCTTTTCCAGTCACCAAGGCCATCATTTCCATATCAAAGAAGAGCTTCGTGTCAACAAATTCACCATCTATCTCTTCATTCCCCATCACGACCTCAATGATTATCACCTTCCCTTCTTTACCTTTGCTAGTGAGTGCCTCCTTGCATTTCTTCAGTATTTTCACACATTCCTCATCGTTCCAGTCATGCAATATCCACTGCATGTCACTCAAATTAATTATGAATGTGCAACGAAATTAAATATTATTTTGCTATATTTTAAATTGTGTTAGCTAGAGAGATATAATATAAAATTATAGAAGATTTATTACTTAATAACTTAACCTTTTAGGTGAGATAATTATATATCATGGTATCAGATCCAAGATAATCATAGATTAAGTGAGATCATTGTTTATCAAATGGCAAAACCTCGCAAGAAATTGTTATATTTCTTACTTGTGTTAGAGAGATATAATATAAAATTATTGAAGACTCATCACTTAATAACTTAACCTTTTAGGTGAGATGATTAATTATTTATCAAGGTATCAAATCCAAAAAAACCATGGATTAGGTGAGATGATTGTTTATCAAATAGTAAAACCCTCAAGAAATAAAAAAATGTGTGTAACCTAGATCTTTTTATTGGAATAAGCAGAGATCAATATGTCAAGTTATGAAGCAACTTAGACCCTAATTATGATAACAAGTTCATTCTCAATAATGATGCATCTTTGCTAAAGGTTTGGCAATTTAGAAGAAGATAATAAACTATATATGTGAAAATACTTTACCTTTAACAAAATGGAATCGGCAGAGGGAATTGACTCAAACATGTCACCTCCAACATATTTTAGATTGTCACTTCCTTGCAAGCCATTAACAACATGTGGGAGATCAAATACAATACACTCCAATTGTGGGAATGACTTGGCAATGGCCTTTGCCATAGTCCCTGTGCCTCCCCCAACATCAACTAATGACTCCAATCCCATGAACACTCCCTCGCACTTCTCAACGACCACATTGGAAATCAATCGAGCATCACTAGCCATGGCTTCATTGAGAACGTGATTGAATTTGGGCTCATGGCAAGCATAATCCCAAAGTGTCATCCCATTTTCCGTGTAAAATGGAGTAGGATCATCATTTTTAAACCAAGTAGAAAATTTCTGCCATGGATTTATCATAGTCGGGTCAAGTACGAAAGGCAAAAAAGATGTCATGCTCAAGGGTTGATCATTAAGTTGTAGGAAATCTTAGATTTATGCGGAAGCGGTTTAGGACCTAGTACATTGGTATGCTTACCGAATCATCCTTGTTTCACAATTACCTCTCGGTGCACAGGTCTCGTGTAGAATCTTCCCTTGTAGGATTCCTCTTCACGAACAGCTCACCTCAGCCGCAGCACGAACAACCTCCTTGAAGCTAGACTGTGGCAGATCTTCCAAACTATCTCTCGAGGAGGAAGGGGAAGTGTGTGGGCACTGATTAGATTCTGAGCCTGCCTCTTTCTCACAAAGAAGACCTAGGAGGCTGATGACTTAAGAGGTACTATTTATATGGGTTCCAAGAAACCCTAGCTCATTGGGCTCTAGGTTCCTTGGGCTCTTCTCATACTAATAACCCATTTGGGCTTTAGTAAAAGAGCAAACCCAACAATCTCCCACTTGCTCTTTTGGATACAAACTTGAGTCGTAAAACCCAAGATCATGTAACCCATAAGTCATCATATATCTGAAAAATACCCCATCCCTTGTCTCAAGCTAGCTTGGGGATCTACCATCTGTTATTAATCAAGGCTCATGATAATCAACGAATGATTATCTAATTCGGTGCTACTCCACTAAAAGCCCGAACTTGAACTCCAAGATTAACAACACTTATAACATGAATATGCATCGCCCCTTTGTAGAATGTCTATAATTGATTGACAAGTTTTCTGTAACTCAATCAATTATTTATTCCCTTGACTATGATAGTTTCTCTGATGGATTACATGCACTGGCCAGTGTCTTTAATATCCAAGTACTGAAACATATCAAGGGGACATATCCTACAAATTCCATGTTGTTTATCTCATAAATACCGATAATCAAATAATCTCACTCCCAAAATACCGAGTTATTGGCTGTCAATAGATCGAACCTCACCCGTTGGTAAATCAAAGAATGAAAACTATTTGATTACCTATTTATAATAAACTCAGGATTAAGAGCAATCACATAACTATAGTTAACTGGAGATTTGATACCTTATGACAGAAAAACAACTTTAATCAAATCTCTCCTTGGTCCTTTCAATGTGAATGTTAATTCACACCAATATTTTACAATGATTCGGACAAAATCATTTCATAAAATATTGCAGCCTGAATAAAGTGCCCAACTTTATTTAACGGCTGTGACTCCATTCATCAATTGTGAGATCCTATGATCATGTCCTCCATGAACGTATCCATATGATCATATACTCCACAATTTGATCCGGACCTTTATGTTTGTAAATAGTGCGCAAAATAAATAAATAAAATCTTATTTATGAAATTCAGAAAATTATTTTATTGTTTCATCGTCTTACTCCAAGAGCACAATGAAACCAATAACTCCACTTGCTTAATGCAAGTCTGGGATCCTCCTAAGATCGACAGAAGTAACATGCCTCTCGAACACAAGTTCAGGCAAACTCTTAGTAACTGGGTCTGCAAGATCCACCTCTAATGCTATCTGAGTTTAGTGAAAAACTCATAGCTCGAGGTTGATTTTCTTGAGTCAATATCCACTTGAAATAACTGAATTTTTGAAAACTCAGCTTTTCAAGACTCCCACTAGAATATACCAGCATATAATCTCTCGTTCTCCAAAGATACTTGAGTACATGCTTAACAATAATCTAGTATTCCTCTAGGTTCAAAATGGTACTATCTCACTACTCCCACTACGCGACAGATGTCTGGTTTAACGCCCAACATGATATGCATGAGTCTACCTTTGCCAAAGCATAAGATATCTTGCTCATGCATTCTTCCTTCTTAGAAGTCTTTGGTCACTCCTTAGGAAGATGAATTCCACATCTGAGAATTATAATTCTTCTCTTGGAATTCTCATGTTGAATTTTGGGTTTTGTCAATGTAAGTAGCCTGAGGTGATGCCAACAACTTATTCTTCCGGTCTCATAAGAGTTTTATACCAAGAATATAATTGGCATCCCCAGTACTTCCATACCAAAACACTAACTTAGCCATCTCTTTATGCTTGATATTACCTCCACATTGTTTCTAATAAGGAGCATATCATCTACATAAAGTACCAGAAAAGCTACTGTCTTCCGTTGCATCCTTTACATACAAATACACATCATTCATCAAGGTTCTCTCAAAATCAAAATTTTGATAACCTAATCAAAACTGATGTTTCAAGACCTGGATGCTTGCTTAAGTCTATGAAATAGACTTTCACAACTTGCATACAGTGTGTTCCTACTCATTTGCTATAAACCCTTTTGGTTGTTGTATGTAGATTTCCTGACATCCAACTCCCAAAATGAAATCTCATAATTGAGACTTATAGCAACTAAGAGAATCTGGATAGACTCAAGCATGGCGTCTGGCAAGAAATGCCTCCAAGCTAGCTTTGAAGGTTTTCACCTTTCCGTCCATCCTCTCTTTGCCTATTATGTCCACATGCACCTTGTGGGTTTTACCCCTCTTGGTGTCTTTACTAGGACCGAACGGAGTTGAAATACAAGTATTTCATCTCATTGTTCATAGCCTGAGCAACACTTGATCAACAACATCTTCTAGTGCATTATCGTAACTAGTAGGATCAATGTCACTCAACAAGAAACAACTTGAGAGTTAACAAGGTTCTCTCCCACTACGAATGTACTGCACTAGACCTTGTGTATTTATAGGTAAAACAAAGAGTGGGTCAAATGATGGATCTTCAATTTCTTGAGGATCCGCTTATCCTTGATATTGTTCCTTTACATGTGATACTAATATTTCTACTAGTTTCACTTATATATTATCATGTTGAATTTCCAATCATGGTTCTCTTGTTTGTTCACTTAGAGATATATTTATCCCCTCTTGAACAATCAAGGGAACAGTGGATGAAGCTTCTAGAGATTCTGGAAATTCTTGATCTGAGATAAATCTCATCAAGAATAACCTAACTTAAGAGCTTATAATTTCTTATCTAGTCCTCCTTTAAGAAAATCATATGAGTGCTCACTTAGATTATCTTGTCCTTAAGACTAAATAAGAAATCATCCTTAGTTCTCTTAGGGTAGCCAAAAGATATGCACTCTTCCATACAAGATTCCATCTCATTTGACTGTTGTTGTAGGACGTGTGCCGTAGCACCCTAAATCCGAATATGGTTTGATCTGGGCTTGCACTCCTTCCATAATTCTTTAGGTGTCTTTACAACAAACTTTGACGGAACCAAGTTAAGAAGATAGATTTCTTTCTCTTAGGCATCTCCCTTGAACAACATTGGCAAAGATGAATAACTGAACATGATCTTCACCAAGTCTAGAAATGTTTGATTTTTGCATACTGCAACTTCATTCAACTAACGCGTTCTTAGAGTTGACAGTTACGAAAACTATCCCCTCTTAAATCAGGTAAGACCTGAAATTACCAGACAGGTAGCCAAACACTTTAGTAGACCAAAGTGTTTTGATTTGAACACCTTCATGCTTTTCTGCCTCAGACTTAAACCTCTTGGAAATTCCAAAAGCTTTAAACTTATGGCGCACTTGGTTCATCTGTCCAAATCTAGAGTAAACATTCATATAATGAAGTACTCATCACCTCTTCTGGTCTGAACGCTAATTGGTCCACATACATTAGTATGTACCAGTTCTAGTTGAATAGTTGCGCAAACCTTTTTGGCCCTTGTAGGATTGCTTGGCCACTTTACCTTCCAAATAGGACTAACATGTAGCTGTTAGTTAAAAGATTCTTGAACTTTCAGTCTCTCTTTTAACTAAAATATGTTTCCTACTTGAGATAATATGACTCAATCACAAAGGCCAAAGTTATGTTTCATTTGAAACTTTTATTTCTTTGGTGAAAGTTCTTGTTCATCATCCTTTCCATTCAACATAACAAAACAATGTACCAGAACAAAACAAGACGAAGATGAACTTCGAAATGTAACTGAGGAATCAATTGCATTGTCAAACCATGTTTTAACCAAAACAACTAACAAAAATTGAATTCCTCTTGAACTCCGGAACAAATAAACAGTTACTCAAAACCATAGTCATTAAATAACTTGTCTTACTGCAAATGCAGACACAAGTTCCCATTTTCAAGCTTAAAATATCTTTGTCCACTGCTGACAGGCATACCATGTTTGAACTACTGCTATGAGTAACAAACATAATCAGTGATTCCTGAATCAATGATTCATTCACTGATCAGGCCTTAATATACCCATGTCTGGTTTTTTTCATCACCTCTGGGCAATTTTTCTTTCAGTATCCCTTCAGTCTGCACTTGAAGAACTTGCCTTGCGGATTCTTCATAGCAACTGGTTTGACAACTGATAACCAAGTCATTTTGTTCTTGTTACCACCCTTGGGTTTTTCCCTTTGGATTTAACAAGACTCTTAGCAAAAACTGCATCGACTGCATTCTGTCTAGCAGAACTGCTAGACGCAGCAAACATGTCATTAAGAGTCTGAAGCATTTCTACTCCACTCTTAATCATGTACACTTGCTTCTGCAAGTATTTGGAAAGACTGACAATAACATAGCAGCGAACTACCATATCTGCCCTTTCCCAATCTGAGAAATGCATCTTAGTTACCTTAGACGCATCCTCTACAGGTTGTTATGGCCCTCGCATTGTCAGGACAAATTTTAGCTTCTATGTTTTAGAACAATATCAAAAATTTGCTTTTCACTTATTCATAGTTGGTACCATCTAGAGGTTTTCGACTCAAAATCATTTCTAAGATATTTTATGAAAAACATATAAAGCACACAATTACAAACAAATAATGCAATAAACAAACGAAGTGCGAGTAGATTCTCATAACTACTCTTGTTTATTGTTAACAATCCTTCAGTTTATCTTTACAAGGCTTACGATGGGCAAGTTACTTGTAAAAACCAAAATTGTTACTTGGGCCTTCAGTGCCATTGCCAGAGCCTCGATGGGAGGGTTAACAATTTTACCAAAGTTGAATGTAATTAACCATTGTTTAATTTCAAAATTATCCTTAGTGTCTAAGCATTACCGACGATGGGTCGTACAATACTTTACTAAAATTTTGAAATTATTAAGATTTAATCTAGTGAAATCTGATTATCCTTATCCGATGGGGCTTCAGCGATAACCATTTCACTAATAAACCCACAAATGGAGCCCGCAGGTTTTAAAATTAATTAATTTTTAAAACCTTCACCCATTCAACATTTTTGTTTGAGAATTTTCATAAGCCCAGTCGAATTCATTGTTTAATTTCAAAATTATCTTTAATAACTTAGTATTATCGACGATGGGCCGTACAATACTTTATTAAAATTTTGAAATTATTAAGGCCCAATAAAATCCAATCATGCTTATCCGTTGGGGCCTCACATGATTATTTTATTGATAGGCCCGCAATGCGCCTGGAGGTTAAATTAATTTCTTAATTTAAATCTCCTCCCATAGATATTTAAGTCCAATCTAATAAAATCCAATCATGCTTATTCGATGGGACTTCACATGATTATTTTATTAATGGTCCTATAATGTGCTTGAAGGTTAAATTAATCTCTTAATTTAAAATCTCTTTCCATTCAACATAAGCAACATTTTCTAATTTCCAAGAATTATTTAATTGAGAGTATCCTTTGTTTCATTTCAAAAACTATATAAGTAAGAGCGCCGATAAACGTGCAGTAAGCTTAACATAATTTTGAAAGCATTAAGGTCCTGAAATCCGGTCACTTTACGTCAGTGTGTGCTCCAAACAATCATGATACATGAATGTTGTATGCAGCGTGTGTTATTCCATGACCATTTCAGAAAACCCACAAATTACTCGCAAAATAAAAGAATTCTCTTAGGAAATTTTCTTTAATCATTTTTCTAGATTTAAATCATCCAAATAGCTGACTTAATTATTAATCTAGATTGCAAAAATCATAATAATTATCATTTATGAGGATAATTTGAAATCAAAATAATTTCCATAACGATTATTTGTCTTGATGTTAATTATCCAAAATTAATTAATTCAATTATTAATCTAGATTTTTAATAAAAATCATAATAATTATTAATTAATTTCTTAGGATGATTTAAAATCAAAATAATCCCATAATAACTATCATACTAGTCGCTGAAGACATAATAGCTATTATGCTCATGCAATCATACAAGTTATGCAACAATATGGCACCACCTATTTTATTTTTTTTTGGAGTTACCCAACCCTAATTACCTCTTTGAGGCGAGTTGGCTCCCTCCGGTATCCCCACAAGCTTCGACTCTTTGAGCCGGCTATGGGACTGATCCGGAGTGCGGGGGTCAGTGATGGCTAAAGGTTCAGCCCCTTCCCCAAGAATGCATTCAGCGGGAATCGAACACATGTCCAACCCCACTAACTCAACGCCAAGGAACCAACTGAGCTGCACCCATTGGCACCACCTATTCTATATGGCATGTTATCGCAATAAAGCATGTTATCAATCATATAATTTATACCAATCAATAAAAGCATTAAATAATAAATCATAATTACTTTAATCCATGGCCTTCTTATTTTAAAAAAAAATAAAATTAAATAAAATTAAATAATACAACTTTGGAATTCGACTTTCGCCTAGCCCATAGTATCTGTCTCAAGCCCCTTTAGGGTTTCATGGGCCCAAAAGCCCAAAGACCCAATCCTTTGGCAAGAAACCCTAGGACGCGAAAGAGGAACCCTAGCCGTCAGGTCTGTCGCGCCGTCACCCGAAGTCAAATCAAGCTGAAACTCCAGGGGAAGGACTGCCATGTAGAGACGAGTGCACCGCCGCCGGAACCACCCAAAAAGGTGGCCGGACGCTCCCTCACTCTCCCATTATTTGCCGGAGAGTGGCGGCCACTCTCAGCCTCTTGTGGAGGCGCGTGGTGGAGCGTGTAGTCTCCGATGGCGATGATCCACCCACCGTTGCGTTTGTCTTTCCGTCCTCTTTCCAACCATATATAGATCGCCTCATTCCGAGATCGGTAAGTGCTCGAAAAGTTTCCGACAGTGCTGATTGCGCATCTTCCTCGCGATTTCTCGATCTTGAACTTTTACAAAATATTGAAAAAATACACAAAAATTCCAAAAATAAACAAAAATAGCAAGGAGGAAACCTAATCATATGGGATTAGTCTCCTTGTTACAAATCGAGAAATACACGAGAGACCCTAACCATGGATTAAAGCATTTTTACCGATTAAAATTTAAACTTTTATGAAAATGAATTATAAAATACACATGCTAGACCCTAACCATGGATTAAAGCATTTTTAGCGATTCATGCTTCCAGTTTTGGAGGGGTGGATTGGTAGTGAAGCAATGAGTAGTGAGAGTGGCATGGGTTGGCCATACTTGTGTATGACATCTGGAATGCATAACTCAATTGCACATTTAAGGGACATGGAGTTTATGAAGCTAAAAATGTGATTGAATATATGGGTTTGAGCTTGAAGTAGTTTGGCAGCATGCTCCTCAATGGGGGATTCCATAGCTTTGATGCCTGAACTACTTTGCTAGATTTGTAGTATGGAAACTCACATTACTTGGGTCCATTTATAGGGGGAGCAGGTGTTCTGCCAATATCTTGAAATATGGACATAACTTAAAATTATTGCAGATATATAAGAGCAACACTATAATATGCCAATATATATTTTATTCAAGTTCCTGAAAACTATATAATATTTTTCACGTTTGTTTTATTTATAATGACACTAGTATGTTACCCGAGGAATCCACGGAAAAATTAAAAATGTTTAATATTATAAACTTTTATTTTAAGTTTTTACATACTTAAATATAAAATATTTAAATAAATCACATGTCTATTACTATGCAAAAATTGTCCTATGATTGGCCGTTGAAAAAAAAAATACACGCTATAATTCTACATATATACGAAATTGATTAGCATATCATTTTGTTATAGAGATTAGCTTTATTTGTTATACAACTAATCCTATGATATATAGGGAAATACACCTTACATGATTTGTTACGGGTGAAATGTTACTGTTGGGATTTTCTTTTTTACCAAAAAGTCTTTTGAGCTTTAGTATAGGAGAAGAGCTCAAAAAGTTTAGGCTTATGTTTTCTTGTTATCCATATATATAATTCACGTTCTTGAGCCGTCGTACTCAGGGAAAAAAATGAAAACCTATCGTACCCACGGACATCTACTTCCCCTATTTGAGTCATAGATTGAAAGATCTGACCATCCCGTTGTCACTGCTACGACAAGATTCATCTATAGCCTTTGAGGGTGAGCAGATTCAATGTGAGACAATAGTGTTTTTCACGCTTACATTACAAGATACACTTTATGTCGTTTAGGGTGAGTAAATTCAATGCCAGGAAAGGGTGTTGGGAACTCGGTTCCCTCAAGCTCGGCTAAGTAGTCTTTGTGCGGAAGTCAATCAACAAGATCCTGATCTCGGATCTCGGCAATACCTCGGTCCGAGCTTCACCAGGTCAGGCAGCGCAGCGGAAAAAAAAAAACAAAAACGAAAAATAGGAGAGAGAGAATAAGAGCACAACCAGATTTAACGTGGGAAAACCTTCTTCAATGAAGAAGTAAAAACCCACGGGACCTAGTCCAGATCAAAAATCCACTATGAAAATAATGGTTACAAAGAATCAAATACGCCAATGTGGTGGTTAACTCAACCTCTCCAACAATGGTGATAATCAAACTACCCTAGAGATGTTTCACTCAAACTCTCTCTAGAGATCTCTCAAATGCAAAGCATAAAGCTTTGCTCAAACAATCAAATAATTTTTTTCTCAAATTTGTTCTCTCAATATGACCTAGCCTCCACCCACAACTAATGAATATATATAGAGGAGGTGGAAATTAGGGTTAGGGTTTTTAGGAAACCCCTCAAATGGGCTTGGACTTAGCATTGAAGGAGGAAGCCCAACAAATCTCCCCCTCCGACTTCAATGCGTCGGCTTCAGCATCAACCCGGCTCCTTCACAGCAGTCTTCAAATTTCCTTGCTGGAACCGGCTTCGTCATCATGTCGGACCAATTTTGGTCAGTGTGCACCTTGACGAGTTCGAGCTCTCCACCTTCCACCACATCCTGGATCCAGTGATACCTCACATCAATATGCTTAGTGTGGGAGTGATAGGTCGAATTCTTCGCAAGATGGATTGCGCTTTGATTGTCATAACTCAGCTCATACTTGTCTTGATCATGGTCGAGTTCCATGAGGAACTTCTTCATCCATAGCATCTATTTGCTTGCCTCAGTAGCAGCAATGTACTCAGCCTCAGTGTTCGATAGTGCAACACATTTCTGAAGTCTTGATTGCCAAGAGACAGCTCCTCCGGCAAATCTCATCAAATATCCTGTAGTCGACTTCCTCGAGTCGGCATCTCCCCCTAAATCAGAATCGGAGTAGCCTTACAGCTCGGCTTTGCCTTCTCCAAATCTGAGACATAAGTCGGTCGTACCTCGGAGGTACTTGAAGATCCACTTCACTTCTTCCCAGTGCTCTTTGTCGGGGTTTGACAAATATCGGCTTACCATTCCAACAGCATACGCCAAGTCGGGTCTAGTGCAAACCATTGCATACATCAAGCTTCCGACGGCAGATTGGTACGGGACCTTCATCATCTCATCTTTGTCTTCATCAGATCTCGGACATTGCTTCTGGTTCAGCTTTATGTGTTCGGCAAGGGGGGTGCTCACTGTTTTGGCTTTGTCCATGCTGAATCTCTTCATAATCTTCTCAATATATTTCTCTTGACTCAGCAACAGTAGCTTCTTCTGTCTATCTCGGATAATCTTGATTCCGAGTATCAGCTTTGCAGGGTTGTGGTCCTTCATTGCGAAGGACGAGCTCAATGCCTTTTTTAGGGCGGCTATCCTCAATTTGTCTTTCCTTACAATAAGCATGTCGTCAACATATAACAACAAGATCAAAAAATCTTCGGCCTCATACCTCTTCACAAATACGCAGTGGTCGGCTTCTGTCTTCTCAAACTTATGATCAATCATGAATGATTCAAACTTCTTGTACCACTGTCGAGGTGCTTGCTTCAAGCCATAGAGACTCTTCTTCAACCGACATACCAAGTCTTCTTGGTCTGGAGCTTGGAATCCTTCAGGTTGCTCCATATATATCTCTTCTTCTAAATCACCGTGAAGAAATGCCGTCTTCACGTCCATTTATTCTACCTCGAGGTCCATCGAAGCCGCCATGGCTAACACGGTTCGGACCGAGGTCATTTTCACCACAGGAGAAAAAAATCTCCTCAAAGTCTACTCCTTTCTTCTGATTGCAGCCTTTCACTACAATTCGGGCTTTGTATCTCGGCTTTTGCCTGTTCTCTTCATTCTTAATCTTGTAGACCCATTTATTTTTCAGAGCTCGTCTTCCTTCAGGCAACTCGGTCAGCTCATAAGTCTGATTCTCGTGCAGAGACTTCATCTCGTCCTGCATTGCCTTTTTCCATTCTTCTTTCTCTGAGCTCGTTACAGCCTCATCATAACTCTGAGGCTCACCGTCTTCAGCAACAACGGAGTATTCATCAGGTGGGTATCTTGTAGAGGGTCTTCTTTCTCGAGTTGGATATCTCGGTTGTTCTTCAGCTTGAGAACCCGGTTCAACATTCTCATCCCGGATCTCATCATCAACTCGGACCTCAATGTCTTGGTCATCCTCAGCTGGTTGCTGGTCATCAATTTCTTCATTTTCATGATTTTCTTTCCCTGCTTCAGCTCGGACAAGAGGGATGGGTTCTTCACGTCTGACAGTAACCCGGACTTTGGGCTTCGAGATGTCATGAATGTTCTCATCTTCATGAAAGATCACATCTCGGCTTCTCACAATCTTCTTATTGATTGGATCCCAAAGTCGAAACCCGAACTCACATCTCGGCGAACCAAGATAAATGCATTCTTTAGTCTTAGCATCAAGTTTAGCCCTCTCATCTTTAGGGATATGCACGAAAGCTCGGCATCCAAAAACTTTCAGTTGATTATAGGCCGCTTTCCGACCTGTCCAGACTTCTTCTGGAATTTCTCCTTCAAGTGGCCGTGACGGTGAGAGGTTGATCAAGTCAACAGTTGTTTTGACGGCTTCTCCCCAGAATGATTTCGGCAATCCGGCATTGGACAACATACTTCGGACCTTCTCTTCAATAGTTCTATTCATCCTCTCAGCAAGTTCATTCAACTGGGGAGTCTTAGGGGGCGTCTTCTCAAGTCGAATCTCGGCCGCTCTGCAGTATGCATCAAATGGGCCGCAATACTCACCACCATTATCAGATCGGACCACTTTCAATTTTTTGCTTGTCTCCCTTTCAACCATCGCATGGAATTCTTTAAATGATTGGAGTACCTGGTCTTTAGACTTCAACAAATACACCCACACTTTGCGGGAATGATCATCAATGAATGAAACAAAGTACTGAGCTCCTCCAAGGGATCTTTCCGACATGGAGAAGACATCAGTATGGACGAGGTCAAGAATATACCTGCGACGTCTTGGTTGATCCGGTCTCAAAAAAGAAACTCGGTACTGCTTTCCAGCTAGGCAATGTGTGCAACTTTCCAACGCTTGGCCTTTCAACCCAGTCAATAATCCTTTCTTGTTCAGGATCTGGAGCCCTTTCTCGCTCATGTGGCCGAGGCGCTTGTGCCATAGCTCCAAGCTAGGTTCATCTCGAACAGAATTGGCTTCTCCGCCATTGATCTTTCCTTGCATCACGTACAAGGAGCCTTCCTTCTTACCTCGGGCCACGACCAAGTTTCCCTTGGCCAGCTTCCATCTAACACTACCGAAGTAGTTCACTAACCCGGCATCATCAAGTTTGCCTACCGAGATTAGATTCAAACGCATGTCAGGAACATGCCTTACATCTTTCAACACAAGTCGGCATCCGACATCCGTGGTCAGAGTTACATCACTGACACCAACAATCTTGCTGGTCACTTGATTTCCCATCTTCACGACTCCAAAATCACCACCTCGATAAGAGGAGACAAAACCTTTGTGTGGAGTAACGTGGAAGGAGGCACCGGAGTCAACAATCCAGGTGCAGTCATCATATGCAACATTCAAATAATTATCCTCACCAAGGAGGAATATCTCGGCATCCGGGTTGGCAGCCACCGCAGTGGTGCTCTTGTCTTCCCTCTTCTTGGGAATAATCTGATTCGGCTTCACAGAGTCGTTCTTCTCGTTATTCTGCAGGGTCCAACAGTCTGGTTTCTTATGGCCTGTCTTTCCACAGTGAAGCACTTCAACTCATATTTCGGCTTTGACCGACCTCTGGAATTTTCTCGTCTATCACGACCTCTACCCCGGCTCTTGCTTCTACCCCGGGAGTCGGATTTCCCTTTGTTCTCAATAATGTTGGCCTCAGACGTGCTTGAAACACCTCGTTCTCTTTTCCTGACTTCTTCGCTCAGGAGACTGTCTGTCACGACATCCATCTTCAACTTTCCTTCTGGAGCTGAATTACTCAAAGTCACCACCAGAGTATCCCAGTTTTCTGGCAGCGAGCTCAACAGCAGCAAAGCCTGCATCTCGTCATCAATCTTCATCTCGGCTTTTGACAGCGGATTCACAATACCTTTGTAGGTGTTGAGGTGTTCAATCATGCTCATGCTTTCCTTGTATTCAAGCTTCACAAGTCGGCGAACCGGGTATGCTTTATTCCTGGGAGTCTTCTTCTGAATAATTGACTCCAGCTTCGTCCACAACTCATACACGTTCGTGAACTCGGACACGTGCTCAAAGAGGCTTTTATCAATATATTTCCTGATCATGGCTACCGCCTTCCGACTCAGGATCTCCCACTCCTTATCAATTTTTCCTGCCGGTCTCTCATCAAGGATAATGAGCTCATGTAAATCTTTGCAGTAGAGATGATCTTCCATCATCGGTCTCCAATAGGTAAAATTATCTTCGGTCAACTTGAACATGTCTCCATCATTGGTTATGCCACTTGTCTCCATCTCGTCTCCCTCAGAACCCGTCGAACTCGGGCTCTGATACCAATGTCAGGCAAGTCCAGGGGAAGCCCGTGGCGGGGGGCCATCACCAATGAGCTAAGGCTACAACAACTGTAGCAAGTGGATCCGACACCATGTCTCAACCCAAGACCTTAAGGCATTGGGTTCATGGGTCCTTCCATATATATACTCTTACTTAGCCCATCACCAACCAATGTGGGACTCATCACACTTGAATATCCTAACAATCTCCCCCTCAAGTGTGAAACCCACCATTGGTATGCTCCCCCTTAACCGAGTACCCGAAGCGCAAAGTACTCGACCCGCCTCCTAGCCAATTACATGGCTAGATTGAGCCCAACCCGGCTCTGATACCAATGTTGGGAACTTGGTTCCCTCAAGCTCGGCTAAGCAGCCTTTGTGCGGAAGTCAATCAACAAGATCCTGATCTCGGATCTCGGCAATACCTCGGCCTGAACTTCACCGGGTCAGGCAGCGCAGCGGGAAAAAAAAACAAAAACGAAAAACATGAGAGAGAGAATAAGAGCACAACCAGATTTAACTTGGGAAAATCTTCTTCAATGAAGAAGTAAAAACCCACGGGACCTAGTCCAGATCAAAAATCCACTATGAAAATAATGGTTACAAAGAATCAAATACATCAATGTGGTGGTTAACTCAACCTCTCCAACAATGGTGATAATCAAATTACCCTAGAGATGTTTCACTCAAACTCTCTCTATAGATCTCTCAAATGCAAAGCATAAAGCTTTGCTCAAACAATCAAATAATTTTTCTCTCAAATTTGTTCTCTCAATATGACCTAGCCTCCTCCCACAACTAATGAGTATATATAGAGGAGGTGGAAATTAGGGTTAGGGTTTTTAGGAAACCCCTCAAATGGGCTTGGGCTTAGCATTGAAGGAGGAAGCCCAACAAAGGGTACTTTGTTATGTAACCAGTAATGCAACTTTCGCTGATCTTTGGATTTATGCCACTCTCAGTGGCCAAAAATCAGTTGTGCAAATAGTACGAGTTGTTAGAAACGCAGAGTAACGCATTTACTCGTTGTTCCGGATGGCCCAACGATACAGTGGCCTAAAGGTCTAAGCCCAAAACCCTTGTCCACGTCAGCCCTATCAACCTTCAGCCTCACAACCCCCAATACGATGATGCTCCCTAGGTGAGACACCATAATGTCTCATCTTGGGATTATAACTTCCAATAAGACCGCCCCAGATACCATAAGAGGTAACTTCCCTTTGTCACATGCTGACATCGCCAGGCACAGGGGGTGCATCACTGCAACCATAGCAGCGCCTGCCACCCTTAGTAGCGTCTGCCACCCTTGGCGAAACCCAAAAAGAGTTGACCCTCTCCTCACCAACCCACACAAGATCAACATCACATTCATCTATAAATACCCCTCTGGATACAGAGGAAATGCATCTTATGTATCGTTATTCTGCCCATTTATCTTGAGTCATATACACACACATACCCAATCCCCATTATTACCTGTTAGCTTCATACTTGGAACTATATCCCATAGCTTGGTCTCTACCTGTGCTAGAGGTATAACCCATATAGTGACTCATCCCAGAAGGGAACATAGTGGGCTTATAGTCCTCAAACGGTACATTAGCGCCGTCTGTGGGAAACTATAAACCTCTATTCCCTCTCTCTTTCCAACGATCTACTGAAGGAAGATCTTGCACCCTGAACAAAATATGGTGGTCACAACAAGGAGAACACATTAGCCAAGAGCTACCACCCCCGAAGGCCACGTGCAAACGGTCCATTCCAGTTCTCCCTCATCCGTACAATCAGCACCGGTCCAGCAAGCAGTAGCCGAGGGTCTCCCGCCGGTACTGCAGTCCGTTGGCCCACCGCTTCCAATGGCTGAAGCCAGAGTAACAAGGTTAGACCGTCATGTGGCCATACGTGAGGTCCAAGCAGAAAACGTGGTCCCAACTCAACCCCCACCGCCTGGAGTTCACTACGGGATGTCATTCCCCGTAACAGTCCCCCAAACAGTTCCACCTCCCATATATCAACCCCCAGAAGCCAACCTATGGTTATGTACAACGACCACAGAATGCCGATAGTCGCCAGATACCCCCCCTGGACCTCACTCCCATCACATGGGTGCCCCTTATGCCATGCCACCTGTAGCTGCCGGAATCCCCTTCCATGGCTACACAGTACCGCAACACAACCCAACCATTCCACAACCTCAAGCATCATACATGGTACAAACACCTCCCCGACACGGCATCCATCACGCCCCCGCTCTCTCGTTTTCAGTAGAAGCCCCTCAAGCACACCGTCCACTGCCTGACACACACCAGCCTAACCTGAATGTGTGTGCCACGCCAGTCAATACTTCTAGACGCAACAAACCCTTAACAGATGGCCTTCGCCTGACCCCTATACCTTTGGGCTTTAAATTCCCTTCCAACATTAACACCTACATAGGAGACACGGATCCCTTTGAGTGGATTCAAAAGTTTGAAGCGGCAATGACCCTCCATAGCGAGACAGATCTCCTAATGTGCAGGACCTTTCCTACGCTTCTAGGCGGGAGAGCCTTGGCGTGGTAGACCACTTTTCCTACTGGAAGTATCGCTTCTTGGGACGATCTGGCGAGCAAGTTCCAAACTCACTTCGCGACAAGTTGCCCAGTACCCAAATCAGTCCACTCGCTGGAGAAAATCCGCCAACAGTCAAGGGAGTCTCTTAGATCTTTTTTAGACCGTTTTGACAAAGAGGCCTTACTTGTGCAAGGTCTTGACCCCAAGGTGCAGGTACACATTGTAACACTCCGTGTTAACCCAGTTTGTTATCATGTCATCGTATTAAGCCACGCTTAATTTAAAAATGCGAAATATCTTTTTCTATTCAATTTGACGTCATTATACTTAGCCAAGTTGATTATTAAAATCCAATTACAAAATATTGCCTGTATGTGATTGCAATCCAACAACTAATTGAAATACCTCATAACATAGATGTGAGTATCTAAGTCACGGATGTACAATACGTAGTCCAGACAATATCTTGATACATTATTAATTACAACTAGAAACAACTAAACATAAAGTAAAGTCAATGTGGCATGGACAATTCCCATGCTCACCAACTAAGGCAACAAAGCCCTATAGCAGTCTCAACAATAACATCATGAAGCTAAAAGCATAAAAGGCAACAGTCAATATCCAGCATCCAACATAAGCAGCATAACAGCATATGATCAGCTAAGCTCTGGCCTCCTGCCGCTAGAGGTCTCAACCCCAGGGTTACCTGAACATGAAATATGTGCCTCAAACGTGGGGTGAGATCTCTAAACAGAAATCTCAGTAAGACAAGGGGTCCTCAAAGATCTTCCACCCAAGCTCACTTACATGTGCAATAAGTTCTAAAAACAGATAATAGTATAAGTTCCAAAATCAGTGCAATGCAGAAGATAATCATGCCATATGTGTTCTAACAATTCTACTGATCAGAGAAATGCAGGCATACGTCTATTACCCACATAATACCAGCCCATGTTGCACCCGCCCCCAGTACCACCCCATGGCTTCCTGGCTAGGCGAAACACCACATACATATCATAAGCATTTTGCACTTAACAGCTCCATAGCATTTCAATAAAACAGTACATGAAAACACATCATGCATATAAACCATCCCCCCATGGGATATGGTGAAACAAACAATGGCTAAACCGAGGACACGAAAGCTTACCTTGCAAGATAACAATCCAATGCCAAGAGTCCAATCAAAGCTCAAAGCCCAACACAGCAGAATCACAATCTGATTTGGGACCAGCAATCATATCAATAACCATAGCTCATAAGCATAAACATTAAGACAACGCTTCTCTTTTACGTTTCATGTCTTAAGGCTTCTCACAAAGCCACAAGCCCTTAATCCCTTGATTCTGACTTAACTTAGTCGTTACAGAAGTTCAACTTACACAAACTAGGGTCCATAAACCCATAACATAGTTCTGTATGAACAGTACCGTTACTGTTCACGCAAACCCAGCATATCCGGATATCAATATCCGGATATCCAGATCCCCATATCCGGATATCAATATCCGGATATCATATCCGGATATTTCACAACATAATACAGTTCTGCATTTCGCGAGATATCCTTCCCAAAGGTGGTTCATTTCATGCATACAGAAGCTCAAACATGCGATTTAAGGTGTGTTTAACATTACCCAACCTTAAGTTATGATCTTTAATCCATTACATGCATCAAGGTTCCATTTTTTCCATTAGACTCAAGAACAAAGGTGATGATCATACCACAAGCTCAAAACAGAGGTGGATGATGCTCTTAGAGCTTACTTGAAGCTCCCAAGGTTCTGAATTCTCAAGGAAAACGAAAATGCAACACAAGCTTGGATCTTTCTTCACAAAGTTTGCTTCTTGGAGCTCCAACAACCAAAGAAAGCACTTTCACACCAACCAACTCAGAAACAGCCCCTTCCCAACACACACACAGCCCTCAAAACTCAGAAAAGGCACCTTTTACACTCTCCAATGCACACACTCAAGTGTTTGCTTGATCAAGAGGAGAAACAATGATCAAAGATGGTGTCTTTGATGAGAAAATGAAGAAGGAAGGGAGTGGCAAGGTGGCTGGTCACAAGGCTTCAGAAATCCTACGTAGAAGGCACAACATGGCCTAGGGTTTTGGGTCAAAAGTCATATTTATAGCCGGTTTAAACTTAATCACATTGTATTAGCGCTAATTGCTACGCTTAGCAATTTAATCTCAAAATTAGGATTCTGAACCTACTCATTTTTCTAAGATTTATCATACTTTTATTTTATTTTTTGCAGCACCTTTTTGGTACGCGTTTTTCCATAACCAGTATCAGTTCTGGCACCAGTTCTCATTATTTTAACTTGAAACTTGAAATCACAGTCCTACATATTATTCTAGGAATATTCATGCACTTATTATAATTTTCTGGGATACTTCATCGGTACGCATTTATACCGACTAGCAGAATCGGTATCTGCACTTTTCGTCAGAAAAGCGACTTTCAACATTATTACTCACTTTCTATATTTATTTAAGCCTCATTAATAATTATTAGGGTCAATTATGGAATTATTTCCTAATTTCACATAATTTATTAATTAACTTCCTTAATTAATGGTGCGGGTTCTTACATACATACTCCTATCAGGCTTGAGGCAATGAGCATTTGCTTATGAACTCGCCTGCCACGAAATAACCGACCTAGAAGAGGACAAGAAAAAGGCCCAGGAATTCATGCGGATCGAAGAATACAAGGGGAGCATATCCGATGACGGGCAAAATCAAGAGAAGAAAGCGGGCAAAAGTAAAGACCAAGATGACGAGGATAGGAGAACTCACAAGTCCTCTAGATATACAGGACGACAATCACACAGTGTACTACAAACTGAATATAATGAGGAGCGTAAGACCTACCCACAACGCCAAGAGCCAACTTGGACACACGCCGTGTATTGCAAGTTCCACCGCTGACACGGTCACAGCACTGAAGAGTGCAGATATCTTAAAGAAGAGATTGATGAATTGATTAAAGGAGGAGCCCAAAGAAAGGTCAGTAATTCAACACGTGAAGTTGGCCCATCCAGGCATCGCCCAGGGCGTAGTAGGTCACCTGAAAGGAGAAGAGCTAACCAAGCTGACTATAGACCCTCTTGCCGTGAACGCAACCAAAGGGAAGGCTCCCCAAGAAGTCACATAGAGAAAATCGACCCAAACACTAGAGGGAGACATGGAGAGGAGGAAGACTCCGCTGTCATAAAACATGGCGTCATAAACATGATCTCCGGCGGCTTGAGTGGTGGCGGAGAAACAGCCAACTCCAGAAAAAGGCATTTGAAGCAATGTTTGGCGGTCTCAGGCAAAACCATCACCAAAGCAAAAATTACGGCTAACCCCGCTAAACCAATGATCGTATGGGATAGCAATGAGTTGGGCGATGTCCTTCATGGGCATGATGACACCCTAGTTATTCAAGCTATAATCGCCAAATTTGGCGTGAATCAAGTGTTAGTTGATCATGGCAGCTACGCTGACATTTTATTTTTACCTTGTTTCAGGGCTTTAGGGTTTACTGAAAATGATTTAACCCCAGTAGTTGGAGAACTGTTGGGCTTCAATGCAACAGTCACTAAGCCCCTCA